CTCACACCACGACATTTCGACGTCTTCAACAACTGTAAAAGGTTACGTAACATGAAAGAAAACACCCGTGACATGAAAAGTAAACCTTGACATACATAGTCGTGCTCGGTGTGTAACAATCGAGGTTAAGAGAGCGGTTGTATGGTCAAAAGAGCAAGTCAATACCCTAAGACCGGAATATCTTTCCTTCTACATACTTAACCTGGACTTATACTATTGCAATCATAATGGATGCAACACTACGAAAAAAACGGGGTATGGCGAGTTATGCGCTGTTTGACGAATCGTAGGTGATAAACTACCGCTCCAATATCATGATGACAATAAGAACCATTACTGCAGAATGATGGCGGCAAATCCTCAACCTATTGATCATTATTATGCTCGCTTTTAGAATCTTTCTTTCCAAAAACATTGAGCTCATATTGGTCGGATTTAGCCGATAATTATAATTATCTTCTGGACAATTTGAGAGTTGTAAATCATGCGGTGCTTGATCTTGTACATCACGCTACATTATAAATTCAAATAAGAATACTGTTCTGGTTTCAGGGGGGGGGGTGAACATACCTTTGCAATAATTTTATCGCGTCTATACAACACACTTCGTCAATTGGATCAATCTGGAGTAGCGTTTATCAATAAATTTTGCTTTAAGTTAGTAGCAATTATATCTCAATGTGTCCGTCAATTATACTTTCCGTTGATCACCTCCAAAACGTTGTCAATTCGCAAATACTTCTGCCGCCATATGCTCACAAAATTGTCGCAAATGATAGTCGGACGTGCCTTAAAATCCGCTTTAGGATTTAAAATTTAATGACACGCGTTTTCTTCTTCAATCCGTCCATTCTCTCAACCATCTCGCGCTCTCGAACTCTCCTACTCTTAAACTATTCATTATATCACTAGCGAGTCTCCTGTATCCGAACGGCCTGCTTATCTCACATTATGCAGCAATGGAAAGCGTTTTTTTCTTTAAGAATGAAAATTACCGACAAAATAGAGATAAGGAGATTACAACACGGAGGTGGGTGACGACATTCTGTACAAAGTAGCAATGCAAAGTAGGAATGTATCACGAAACACTTGCTTCACGCTGAGTGAATTCGGGATTGAGGTTATAATTTTACGAAGGCGACGATACTCTCTCGTTGACCTGGACTATAAAGTATACACCAGCATGCGTATACCTCAGCTATAGCTGTACTGACTGTAACGGTGCTTCCCGGCATCACGCTGAGCCACACTATAACCTGGGGACACAACATATTGTACTTCGTCATACTCCCACTTCTCACCTTTAATGTCTTGTGTTGCTTTCACTTCAACGTAGTAGACACTGGTACAATGTTAACAGCTGTCGTAGCTTTTTTATAGTCCAGTAGGTCCAAAAAGGATTGGTTGAGATGTCTAAACAGCATCTCTCCGACGAATAGTATACCAAGAAAACTCGTCTTCATCCACGCATTTTGTGATAAATGAGATTAAAACTCTTTGCTTTTTACTTCTCTGTGTTCGGCTCGATCAACTTTAATTTGCCGCTTGATTGTCTTGACATGAAATCGTTCTTTTGAAATTCGCCATAAGCTCGTTACTTATATCTATTAATCAAATCTTTTTTGCTAGATTTAGCCACAGCTTTGAACTCTGAACAGCACGTGTCTTCAGTAAGCGATCGCTGTATATGGCTTGTACACGTAAATCTAAAGCTGGCTATACGTATTACAAATCCACTCAAAGATCAATGTTCATCATTTGTACCCCTCAAATCACCATCCGAGTATGCCACAATATGCGCGTTGTGTTTTAGGTCGTGATGTATTCACATCAAACTCCTTCTGCACTTTCGACATGCCGAACAATGTCCAAAGTATTCCTTAGTCTGATATCCGCATTAAGCATTGACACACCATCTTATCCAGTACGTAGTGCTATCTTGTAAAAAACACAGATATTTTCTTAAAGTTCGCATTGCATAATTAAGATGTGGGCGCGTGTGGTGAACTAGATATCGTAATGATCCTGCAATTCAGAGATAATCCGATCTGAATCTAATTTTACACGCACCATTTTCACATCCAGGATTCAACGTGTCGGAGTTCTGCCTTGTTCTTGCGGCGTAAGAACAGTCTAACAATCCGTCATTTAGAATCGTGGCAAAATCTTCTATAAAGTTTAATAGTGCTGTAAAATTGACATCGTGCAGCTTGACATGTTTGATACCTTCACCCGAAGCATATGCCCACACATGACCCAAGTATTTTCCTCAAACTTGCTCGGAAGTATTACTAGCACCATTCTAATGTCGGACTCATTTCCAACAATCGAGAGACCGTACACGTATTCGCAAATGCACACATTATCTCTCCCACCGTTTGCACATATAAATCTGCATCAATCACACAATTTTCCGATACGTGCCCGGAATCCTATACCAAAGGCGGTGTGCTTGTCTTAAGCCATAAAGGATTGGTAACAGCTAGCAAAATCGACCGGAACCATCGTTTACATAATCAATATATTCCGTGCATACCTCGACATCATCGAGAGGCTCATAAGAAAATCTTGTTTCAAAAGTCTATTTTGGCAACACAGCAGACCCAATAACGGAGCTAGAAGCAAAACAAATTGTACCGCAGCAAACAAGAGAATGAGGCTAGAAGCAAAACAAATGGTTCGTCTGAGCCTTCGTTACTGGAGAGTAGGTTCCATAAGTTGATATTATCCTCTTGTTGATATCCCATAGTCGTGATTCGCTTGCAAATTGACACACTTCACAATTCACCTATTGTATTTTGTTTGTTCACAAAGGCCACTTAAAAGCCCAATTGCTATATAAGGCCAACTCACTAGCTCTCATTCGTAATGTCACATCAAAATTTTTGAAACTCAGTCTCAAGAGCTTCATCCTTTTTTGCATCAGGAGCACTATAGTACATTTGACAGACATGGACCCAAGCATTTCATTCAAGGCCTAATTCATAAACGTTGCAAAAATTTTGTATTATGATCTGACAGTCGTACAATGAGTTTTGGTGCTCGGGTAGACCGCCAAAACAGTGCCTTCGGATCTTTCCAGCTTCAACTTACGCTGATTACAAGCGAGCATTAATCCCTGCTAATCTCATCAGATTCTCACTTACCGATTTTTCCTGGCTCTCCATTTTTACGCTGGCTCGCCAAGTTTTGGAGCATCATCTATAGAATCGAATCCATGGCTTCCGTATCGATTACAACATCACATCTCATCCTGATGATTTACGCCACCTGGTATACCAGATTCTACTGCTATACCTAGTGAAGTCAAACTTGCCACGCCAACGTAAGGGGTCGAAAAATAAAGAGTAAATTTTCCACAACGATATCGATAGTACAATCTTCCACAAACTAAACATTTTAACTCTCCAATTTTTCCAAATTTTTTTTATAAATACTGATATTGGCAACCGAACGCGCATTCAAATGCGATCGCTGACCGAATCCTTTGCGTAGCCAAAATATCATCGACTTCCCACGATTTTCCAGCATAGGTTTACTTAAGATCTTATATGTGAGCACAAAAGCTAAACTAATTTTAATGTCCATTGATTCAAAAGATTAAAAGCATACCAAAACCTTGAGTATGTGATTTTCACCAACCAAAGCTTTACCGGGAATGGACCTAAAAATCTCCGAGGTAAGTAAAATTGCCTTTCCTCATAACAGATAAGTCACGTCAACGGTTGTAAGAAAGCTGCGTACACAGGGCACTACGATTCAGTTCATCCGCTTGGCGAAGAATCCCGAAGCATTCAATACAGGGCCATAAGCGTCCCCCCCCAAAAAATTGTTTTGGCGAAGAGACTGCTTAAATTACCATTATAAAGCTCCCTATCTTGATCAGTACAAAACAATTGGATGTGAAGGACTTGTGCGATAAGCCATGTCACACGAGAAAATTGACTGCAGCGGTAGCTTTTCCTTTCTATATTAGTAAAAAAATCACATACCTAACGTGTGGACTCATCTTGAATCAGCTAGAAGGGCGGTAAAACCAACATACGCACACACACCAATGTAGCACATATAGGGAATCATCTTCTGATATGGCTTGTAGACCTTGTAATCACTAATATGGTGTAAAAAGATCTTTCGATATGGTAAGTAGCATATATCACGAGGAGGGTTTTCTACTTTCGCTCTTACTTCCACTTCTTCAATTTCGACAGATATAGAAGGACCACCCATCCTATAACAACTGTGAAGCAAGCTTCAAGTTTAGGCGCAACAAGTCAAACCATCTAAATCTCGCAAAGCGAAATATGGCAACTTTTGTAGATCAATAGTTTAAATGAAAAACCTATGAAGGAAACGTTGATAAAAATTGAACTACCGAAGAAAAACTTAGAATCGGATCGATACTAGCGTTTGTAGAATCTGTAACGGAGCACCCTCAAGCTTGTACTGGTGACAGTGCAAGCTACTTATTCTGATGACAGAATAAGGCGGTGCCTCGTAACTTCACGTACACTCGTACGTGCAGAGGAAGACGGTAAGAAGAAGCGAGTACTTGGTTAATATAACAAGTAGAACTGTATTTATAATAGTTAATGTCTGTTAATAAACCCCCTGTTTATCTTCATCTAACTATGTCTAAATACAAATGTGCATATCAACTATCTGCTCACCACTTTTTGCGTGCGTCTGCCGTGGCGCGTCTTCGTGGGTTGACATAATGGCCTATGTCAACCAATTAGGAACTACTTGTAAGTGCTGCAGAATATTTGTCCTTATGACAATATTCTGAGAATATACCTCTTATAGTTATATTCTATCAACAATTTCTTATAAATTGTTATGTAACGGTTCACCCCGTTACATCACCCCCCCCTTAACCATCAGTCACATTAGTGACTGATTGCCTAAATGGATACTCGTCCCAAATAATTTGGGACAGGGTTTGCGCTTGTTGGTCCGAGTCCAAGTTCCAACAGTTTCATCGCATGGATAACAAGCCCATGCGGTGCGCGAGCAAGGCCGCTGAGAGCGCTTATGCACGTCACTGTGCAGACGCCGAAGCAGAAACCGCTGCAACTGATGTGTCATCGGTTGCTGAAGCGACTCAGCCTGTATCACCTGGTGATGCAGGCGCTTGTCATGAAGACACTCATGTCTTCACAGAGTATGAGCTCGGTGTCTCATACTCTCCTGATACGGAAGAGGGATCCGTATCGACGGCGATCGAGACCAAGCCGCCTGCCAAGCGTGGCATGGCTGGTGCTACGCATCGTAGCATCTTTGTTTCATCCGACGAATCAGATGAACCATCGCCGAAGCGAAGGCGCTCGAGGTCGCAAAACTCGGGCGCTCACATTGGTGTCGGTTCTCCTATGGACACCACTTCGCAACGAGGTGCCAGTACTTCTGTCGGCACATCGCAGGAAGAGCGGGACCGCAATGTGTTGCGTCTCGCTCCTGAGAAGAAAGCATGGATGCCTCCCAAATCCGTCATGGATCGCTTTTCGGCGACGACGAGTGATCGTTATCGAACACGATTGTTCGATTCGTCAAGGATCCATCACCTTGACCCCAGTGCGAAAGACTATCACACTGACAATGAATTCTTCATCGATGCTTTCTTTAAACATCGATGGTAAAGTGGGAATCACAAACGTGATGGTCCCTCACTGCTTCAAGCGTGGAACGCTTACATCCATAACCTTGAGGATGTAGGTCGTGACGTTTGGAACGACAAACTTATCAAAGCTCGTGATAAGTTTGAAAAGCGAACCCCGACAGGTGCACGCTACAAGCTGCATCGTCTGTCAAGGGAGAAAGGATTACCCTGCCTCTCTTGGGAAGACTCGTGCCCATGTTGTGTGAACAACTCTGCACGAGCACCTAAGGAGGCTTACCTCTTTACCAGCCCGTGGTGGCGCGTACGTATCTCTATTTAGATGTACGAAGGGGTTGACAACCTGAAATCCCTTTACGACCGTGCCGGGAAGACATTGTCCGGCGGTCCTTCTGCGGCACAGGACGTGCCGCGTCGTACTGCTCAACCAGACCCAGTACGTCGATCATCAGCTGGGAGCGGGGCTCCCAAGAATCCCAGGACGGGGGATAGCCGCGCCACCGGACGAGATAACTCGTCCGACGTCCGTTCACGTCGCGGTGGTTCAACAGCTGCTCAACCAGGTGGCGCTGGCCACCACGAGAGGCCTCCAGAGAAGGTGGAGGAGGAGGGAAGACGCTCTCCAAGCCTCTTTGATCGCGTAACTCAAGGGTTACGCGACGATCTCGAGCATGAGCGGGACAGACGTCTTCAGTTGGCGGACGCTGTCTTGAAGCATCGAGATGACTTTGCCTTTGCTCAGCTTCAGAACGAGAGAGCTCTGACGTCTCTGCGTAACGAGCTAAGGGTAGCTCACGCGGAAATTGACCGTTCTCGGGCTGAGATAACTGCTCTTCTGACCCTTATCGATAGCCAACATCGGGAGCACAAGGCTCTCTGTGAGATGCTTGAGCGCAAGGGCGTTCTTCATCGGAAGAAGCAGCGTACTGATGGTACGGCTTAAGCCGACCAACGTGAAACGTGGGATGCGTTCGCATCTTACGTGGCAATTCGATCGTGTACGCTTTGCCTAGGCAATGCAACACACAAAATGGGCCGATGTACTTGGGTAGTAGTTTACTGCTACCCAAGTTAGTCACTACATGCTTTGGTAGATTAACCGTAGACAGTAGGACTAAGTCACCTTTATGAAATAAAAGAGTGTTTGCCCTTCCATTCTTGTCAGCGTTTTGCTTTTGCTTATCCACCGCTTCGGCGATGGAGTCCTGCACAAAACGAACTACCGTTTCACGAGCCAGGACAGACTCATCTCCTGACTCGTTAGCTTCAGTGCGCTGTGAGTGCACTGCAGCAACATCAATCGTTTCGCCAGTGAGGGCTTCCGCACTCACACTGGCATCATCTTCTTCGATATCGATTTTATCGATATCGGCATCAAACGCAATGACCCCTTCGTCAGAGCGTGATGAGCGTGAACCAAATCGTTTTTTTTTGCGCGAGTCCCTCCCCCCCTTAAATCAGAGTTACACTCTAGCAAGGTGGGTACACGCGGATGGCGCAAGCCATTCACGTAAAACGGTGTATGTGTCGTGGACGCATGCACCGAGTTGTTGATGGCAAACTCTACCATTGGCAAAAACTCACTACAACTCTTAAAGGAGTGTACTTATACACGAGGTATCTCTTCGAGGACACGATTGGATCGTTCCGTCTGACCATCTGACTCTGTATGATCAGATGTAGACAATTTCAAGCGCGTTCCGAGTGATTTGAACACGGAACGCCAGAAATCAGCAGTGAAGCGTGGATCTCTGTCTGATACGAGTTCACGGGGCAACCCATGAAGTCGGAAGAGGGTGTCAATAAAGACACAAGCACAGCCACTTGCCGTGATTGACCCTGGTACAGCCACAAGGTGTTCCATTTTGCTGAATCTGTCAACAAATACGAGAATACTCATATTCTTGCGTGCGTCTTTGGGTAACCCGAAGACGAAATCCATTGAGATGGATTCCCAGCACTCTGCCAGAACTGGTAGAGGCTGTAGAGGTGCACGCAGTGAAGGGCGCGACTTCACTCGTTGGCAGACTTCGCATGCGCGAACATACTTTCGCACAAACTGATACTGGCGGGGCCAGTAAAAGTCTCGACTTACTGTGAGATATGTTTCCTCTCGGCCACGATGTCCTCCTATAGGAGCATCATGATACTCGAACATGATCCGCAAACGCAGATCAGTATCATCTGGAATGACAACACGTGGTGTGTCACCAGTAACGGCTGTATAATACAGTAAACCGTTGCGAGTGGTGTATCGATCTGATTCAGATCGATACGCAGACGACAATCGTTTCAACGAATCTCGAGATGGTTGTGAGAAATGTGTCAACAACTTCACTATCTCACCATCTTGGGCGTATGCCCGCCTCACATCATCATACAACGTTGTAGATGGGACTGAGGACGTCATAACCGCAACAGTGACTGTCTCACTGTTGGGTTTCGCGACTGGTTCAAAGTCGGGACGACGTGAGAGTGCATCAGCAACGACATTAAGTCGTCCTGGTTTGTACTCGACCGTAAAATTGTATTCCGCAAAGAATGACAACCACCGCGCCATTCGTTGTGAAAGGTGCGGGCTGTTCACTGCCGTGCGTAATGACGCATGGTCAGTGTAAACAATGAAAGGTCTACTGGTTGCAGCTGACGCGACTGATAGCAGACGACGCGTTCAACGCCTTTAAGAACGTACTGCATTAGTGCACAGCCGATTGCAAAATCGCTGACATCACAGACCACATGAAATGGCCTGTCCTGATCGTCTATTGCTAGGACTGGGGATTGTATCAAGCTATGCTTGATACCCTCAAAGGAGCGCTGACATTCGGCGTTCCATAACCACCTCTCGTTCTTTTTCAACAAACGAGAGCGGTGCACAGTCATCTCGGCGTAATTGCATGAATACTTGTGCAAATACGCCGCTAGCCCAAGGAATTTTCGAAGACCTTTGACATCGACCGGCACAGGCCAGTCGGTGATCGCCTTGATCTTTTCGGGATCAGGACGTACACCGTTCTTACCAACGATGCACCCAAGAAGTGGTATTTCGCTTGCTGCAAATATACACTTCTTGAGGTTTGCATACAATTGATGCTTTCGCATGATTGTAAGAACTTGTCGGACGTGGTACCTGTGAACCTCAACGTCCGACTTTCCATCCATAGCTCGACTATGGATGAATACGTCATCGAAATAACTCGGCGCGAACTCTCGTACTGGTCTCAACAGATGTGATACACATCTGTTGAACGTGGCAGGGGCATAACTGAGCCCTTGTGGCATTACTAGCCATTCCCAGAGCATGCCGCTAGGCGTGCTAACTGCGGTATAGGGTATATCCCGTTCCCGCATCAGGATTTGATAGAAACCATCCATCAAATCCATGGACGAAAAGATGGTACTCTTTGACATACCATCAATGATTACGTCCTTCCTCGGTATCGGCGTCTGAGCCGGTACCGTTGCAGCATTCAACTTGTTAAATGCATGCACTATCCGCCACCCTCCTGTTGCTTTTCGCACACAGAAGGTCGGAGAGCTATGTGGGGAAGTTGATTCCCTCATATGGCCCGCTGCTAAACGATCGGCAAAGAACTTGTCGATCGCAAGTACTTGTTCACGAGGCAGTGGCCACTGCTTCTTGACACAGTACTTCGAGCCTAGTTTAAGCTCGACCTCGTGTCGAATACCTTTATCCTTCGGTAATTCGCACGGAACAGTTTCAGGGAATACATCCTTGAATTCAACCGAATCTTCATAGATAGGATTTGTCTTGAGCGATTTCCACGATTGGGAGTCATATCGCTCAATTCGTGTCTTTTCATCTAGGACACTCTCGTCCATAGATGAACTACTGAGAACTCTCTCGTTCTCAGTGAACACTGTTGCTGACCTTATGTCGGTTACACACTCGTCGTCAGCGACGAGTATGCAGATCTGCTTGACTTTGCCACTACGCAGATCACGCAAGAACCTTTTATGTTCGAGCGTTGACAACTGAGTGATCTCCGAAGTTAACTTCGGAGGCGCAATCAGAATAAGTGTGTAAGCGCCTACACTTGATCCGTTATTGACTAGGACATTCAATGTCTCTGTCATTTCCTGGGGACTTATTCCCTCAGGCCTCGAAGGACTTATTCCTTCGTCTTCCCGGGGACTTAATCCCTCGGGTTTCGGGGAACTTATTTCCGCCGTATTTGTAATATCGGGACTTATTCCCTTTACTTCATCTAGCTGTGGTTGCGCAACCACAACGAGATCTTCTACGAAAGACTCTCCAGTCGTTCTGGGATTATCGTTTCGCTTATCCTGAGCGATCGATTGTTTCTCTTCTAGATGTTCCCCGCTAGGGATACATCTTTGTCCCGGTCCACTCGACTTACTCGAGTGGTGGACCTTCGGCGCAGCCTGTGTTTCTACACAGCCGCCGGAACTTTGCTCCGAAGTGTAACCGTTTGGTACACTAAGGTTTTGTGCAGTCGTACTAACGACCGTACCACAAGTGAGGCCATCGCACTCACTCGTAGTACATCCAAACGCTTGTGGACGTCTCCAAAACGTTCATCAGATGGCCATCTGATGAACAAGCGGCAGGCATCGTTACTGTTCGATGTTACTAGTTTACCCGTGGTTCGTACCTTCTGAGCCACGGTATTCCAAGGATGACATCAAATTTGTCATCCAAATCCAATACGATAAAGTCATCGTCATATTGGGTATCTTCTAGCGTGTAGTGGATCTTCACTATACGCTTCATGACGGTTACGGATGCGCCTGTCGCAAGACGTACCGTCATCCTCGTAGGAGGTGTGTCACATTCACTAAATTTAGAGTAACCATCTTCTAGCGATTGGCGTCGCACAAAATTGTTGGACGCCCCACAATCGACTAGAGCTCGAAGGGACAACTTAATTGTCACTTCGAGTTTCAAGGTAATGAGTGAGATCTCATTACCTAGAGCAGCAACGCAAAACGTTTGTGTGTTGGGAGCAACCTTCATCAAGAGGCCTACAAATTCTCTTGACGTTGCTAGACCAGTAGGGTGCTCCGCACCTACTGATCCTGTCCGTTTTTTAACGGTCCATCCCGTTGTTGCGTCTTTGCACCAACAGCGGACCCACGTCCCTGCCCCTTTCTCATGGGTGGACGGTCACTACGCCCAGTGTTGCGAGACACTGGACGAGGGGCACTACACTCGTAAGCGTAGTGTCCTGTCTTCTGACATCTGTTGCATTTCTGCAACTTCTTGTAGTCTGTAGAGAGAGCCTTCTCGCTCTCTACATAACAGAGTTCCATCGGCTCTGGACTTCCGCTGTCATATCGTCTCGGTGGACGATATGATGTCGAGCTGGCGCGAGCCTGTCTCAGACTGAAGTCTTCGTGCTCCGCAATGGAAATGGCTTGTTCTAGTGAATCTTGTTCAAGTCGGAACAGGTGAGTCTTGACGGGACCATCCGCAAGACCCTGCATGAACACCGAAACCAATGTGTGTTCATCCACCGGATTGGAACTTATACAACTCGTGAGATGTCGTATATGTTGAGCGTAAGCGTGCACATCACGCTTACCCTTTCTGAGCTTCAAGAGTTTGGTTCGAGCCCTGAACTCAGCTCTAGGCGGTTCAAACGTTTGTCTGAGCCGCGACTTGAAGACTTCCAGCGACCCAAACGCATATGGGTCGTGCAACTTGAGCCCCAGTGCCCAAGTCTTGGCACGTCCTGCCAGATTTGACTGGGCAAATGCAACTTGCATATCCCCGTCGTCGATGCGACGCGCCCTTATGGCGTCATCCAATTCGACGAACCATCTCAAGAGGGAGTCTTCTTCGACCCCCCTATACTTGGAGATGTCAATTTTCAAAGTCTCGGGTCGACGCGAGTGCATCGACCCGCCAGCAGCAGCCTGCTGCTGTCTCAACAGTTCAAACTGTTGAGCACCCTGTTC